GGGGTGGGGACAGGGGCCACAATCCAGTGCTTCAAGGCTAACACACCTGATATGTATTTCGGCAAGTGCTTTGTGGACGCTCACTGAGGGAGCAGTGAGGACGGAGGAGGCCAGGGGCCCCGAGTGTCCGGGGCCAGGCTCGGGGGCCACCGGGCTGCGGGGCCGGTCAGGTCTGGGCGGGCTGGCTGGGCGCTTGGCCTTGTCCAGGGAGGCCACACGTCCGGGCGGTCTCTCACCAGGTTGGTCTACAGACCCACACGGCAGGGTGCCGGGCTGGCTGCAGAACCAGGTGCCCCTGGGTTTGAATTTGGGGGCCCCCTGTGCCTGGTCAAAGGGCCAGCAGCCCGTGTGTCCTGCCCCATGGTCCCAGGAATGAGCACAGCAGGGGTAGGAGGGGAGTGTGGGCCGCTGGGGGCTGGGGGCCGGGGGACCGCGGAAGGAAGGGCGAGGAGGGTCCCCCTTCCGAACTTCGCCTTGGGGGTCAGTCAACCGTCCACACGAGGGAAGCAGTTGAGGCTGGACTGGGGAGCCCCGGCCCTGGGCAAACCCACGGGCACAGCGTTCGTCCTGCCAGCCTGATGCCTTCCTGCTCTGAGGCTGGGATCGCCCAACTGCGGCCAGGCTCCCCGGGTCTAGGGCTCCCCCGGCACAGGGACCCGGGGCCCAGGAGCACAGGGAAGGGGCCACCGTGGTCTGGGACGCGCGGGGCTGTGAGGCGATGCTTCATGGATGCACTGGGCACAGGAAATAAGTGCTCTCTGACACGGGGTCCAAGGACGGACCCCCAAACCTGCAGAGTGCTCGGGCCCGAGGGGCTGAGTTCAGGATCGGCTGGCCTCGCCCTCATTGTCAGGGGGAGAAAACACAGGCCTTAAAATGTGCAACGGGGGTTCTTGGGGAGGGAAGGAGCCATGATGCTTAGGAGGACTGGCTGGTAGTGACAGAATGTGACAGTCAACAGAGACCTTGGTGGGCGGCAGGGCAGCCCTTGTGTGCCGGGGCCGCCGAGGACGGACTCTCAGGCCTCCACCCGTCCAAACCGCCTACTTCAGACAGAGTCAAATGGCAAAAGGAAGCTCGCGCCTTACTCTTTAGCGCGTGATCTGGGTTTACGGACGTGGGGTGTCTCTATCTGAGGGGTCCCATCCAGACCAAGGGGATGGTGGCATTTCCGGGCCATGCCTGGCAGCTCCGGCCCAGGGGAGGTCGCCGATGCCCGTGGGAAGGTATGAGCATTGTGTTTGCAAATCCTCGCTGCCAAGGACACAGCCATCTCTCCCCCGGGGTCCCCGGGGGGCCATGTTCCGGCCGGCACACGTGTGTAAGTGGCCTCGGCACACGCTCAGTCTTACTACCTCGTGTAGGTTTGAGAAAGGGGGTGAAGCCCTTTCTCTGGGACTGGAGGGCGGGTGGCACCTCAGGGGACTCCCCACCAGGGCCTCCAGGACAGAGCTGCCCTTCCCCCCAACGCCCACAGGGATGACCGTCTGTGGCCCGGAGCCGCCACGACGTGGACACGTCCCGCCATCCCGGGGCCAGCACTGAGGACGCATCCACGGTTGAGGCCACGTCCACCGCGACCCACGACCCACACTGTCCGCATTCACACGTTTTTAAGGGCAATGCGGGCGACTTTTTTCCCTTCTCTTGTTGGGACTATTACTCTTTTTTTCTGCCAAACGATAAAAGAAATAAATAGAACACTCGTCTTCAACGCAAATGCAACTGAAACGCAAATTTAACAAAAACACGTGATTGTCTGGAAGCGGCAGCCGCAGCGGCAGGATCCGGGGGGACGCGGGTATTTGGCACAGTGGACACCGCCCACTCCCTGGCTCTCGGTCACACACACACAACCTATTACACGGTTTTGGTCCTTCACTGGGTACTTATATTAACATTATTTCTTCACAATAAGAATGTCTAATGCCAAAAATACTGTTAAGGAAGAAATAAAATAAGAAAAGAAACAAATTAGAAAAAAATTACAAGTTATATACAGATTAAGGTCAATTCCATCAGGGAAAAAAAAAATTATTATTTGAACTTGGCCCCTATGGGAATAATTTAAAGCCCATGAGTGGGGAAGGAGACTGGTCCCCAGGGAGGGAGGCGCGGCCCCGGCCGGCCGCGCTCTCTGTGCTCTTTGCTGCAGGTCTCCAGGTCCTATCAGGACGTCCTTCGGTTCCGGAGCAGGGTCCCACCTGCCAAGGGCCCACGCAGAGAGCGGGCGCGGCCGCTATGTCCTGGGTCCCGGGTCTCAGGCGCACGTGGAGCTTGGCCGCCTGCTCGGGGGGCTGTGAGCGTCCCCCGTGGCGGCCACGGGTGGGCCCGCCTCCTTCCCTTGTCCGTTTGACGGGGTGGGTGAGGTGGGGGCTGCAGGCCCTGCCTTCGGAGGAGCAGCGGTGGGGGGCTGGCCCAGGGGTGGCCAGGGACGGACCCAGGGAAGGAACGTAAGCTGCCCGGCCCACCTCTCTGACCTTCCCATATAATTGGGGGGGTCTTGGGAGGAGCCACTTGGGGGCCACGGGCACGAATCACATGTCACACAATGACAGGCACATGTCCCAGTCCCAGCCTCGGGCCGGCCCTGGACAGCATATCTAGGAATCCTTGGTACAGTCTGAAATGGCTCACAGGAGCGGCCGACGCCTGGGCCCGCCACGAGGTCATGGAACCACCGGGGCCACGGGACCACCTTGGCTTTACAAACAGGGTCGGGGATAGAAAACTCCGTTATCTACCGTATAAAGACCACGCCCACGGTGTGGGGTCCCAGGCGGGCTTGGCTTTGCAAATAAGCTCAGGTTCCCAAGCAATGCAAAATTACTTTAAAAAAACAATTTGCAAGTCCTTTTCAATTTCTTTTTTTTTAAAAAATACTGTCTATTATTAAAACCACATGCTTAAATAGACTCTGTCGTCGATAAGATTACCAAAAGGGCTGTTCTGGTCATTTTCACTATAAAAATCACGTGGGCCGCCTCCCTCTGCGGAGCACACCCGCGTCTGTCTTCCTTCGGCTCCTGGAAGCTGCCCGGCTTCAGTTTGGGATGAAAGTCCCGCCCTTGCCCACCGGGTTGATCCCATGAGTCTGTCCCCGAGAGCTGTGCCCACGGCCGGCCGTGCGCCAGGCAGTTCCCGAACGGTGCTCTCGAGACCAATTCTTAGAGACGTGGACTCGACGGCTGCTTCAGGGACTTCGGTTTCTGAGTTTTCATTGGAAACGTTGAGTTAAACCAAGGTGGGGGGAGCAGACACCGAGGAGTGGTCAAAGGCAGGCGACAGGGGGGTCTCCCTGGCTCCAGGCCACGCTGGTTCCCCGAGGCCCTTGCCTCCGCCTTCTGCAGCTGGGATTTCTGTCGGGACTTGGGGCCCGAGGTCGCGTCGTGGACCCCAGCCCCCCGGCCGATCAGAGGTGGTTGATGGGGTTAAAGGCTCCGGACTCGGGTGTGGCTCCCGCGATGTTCAGCCAAGCGTCCAGGGGGCTCTGGGCGGAGGTGCGGAGAGGAGCGTCCTCAGAAAGGGACAGCATCATTGCATACGCCTGGGGGGGAGAGGACACGACACGGGGCAGGCAGGTGAGCAGTGTGCGTCCGGGTCCCGCAGGCCCCAGGCTGGCTCCGTGCTCACCCCTCCCTGGCCCCCCACTGCCCTCAGCCCGCTCAGGTCCACACCGGAGGGGAGAGCGGAGGTGCCAGCGGCCAGGCCATAGAGGCCAGACCCCCCCAGCCCGGCCTGGAAGAGGGAGACAGGGCAGAGAGGGGAGCTAAGACGCCACGGCCCGAGCATAGGGGCTCCTCCCTCAGCCTCTTGGGGTGCTCCCCTGCAGCCCCACCCCCCACTTCTCTGCCTGAGCAAACAGTTTGGGCAAGTATGCCTCCTGGGAGGGCCCTGGGAATTGCAGGTGGTCACTGCTCAGACCTTGTCTCCCCCGCCTGTGTGGACGACCGTGGTGACACCACAGATCTGCTTTGGGGAGAGGAATGCAGCTGGGTTTGCTGGCCCGGAGTATGGCTCAGACAGCCCACAGGCCACGGGCACGAGGCCACGGGCCACTGCAGCAGGGCGGGGCCGGTGGGGAAGCCCAACCCTCGTCCCGCCTGAGATAACACTCTGGACAGAATTAGTAAAAAGACAAAGACAGACATACAGACGGTTTTGCTGAGACTTGGGGTGGGCCACAGAGAGCTGACTGAGACCCTGCCCCCTCCAGATGGACCAGGAGGCCACCTACACTTGGGAACAGAGTGCCTGGGGCCAAACCTGGTGCCTCCCTGACCCCATCACAGCTCCAGTTTGGAACCAGTGCCCTCCTGAGGGGCAGCTTCCTGCAAGGAAACCTGGGCTACTGGTCACTCTGGCAGGATCACAGAGGGGGGGAAGCCAGGGCAGCCTCACGCTGAAAACCTGCTCACGGGCGCCTCCTTCTGGGGACGAGAGGACAGTGACCTCTGTGCCCCTGAGCACTCTGGCTCGGGTCCTCCTGCTCTCAACCTCTCCCTCCCCACTCCTGCTGGCAGGGAGGTGGCAGTCACTGGGGTGTCTCTCTAGCTGATGCAAAGGGCATGGGAGGGCCAGTGGGTCCCGGGTGCCCCCCAGGCAGGCATGGGGTGGCTCCCCTGCCGTTCAGCCAGGGGCAGGCGGGAGGGGCGGGCTCTGCGGGTACCTACCTGGTTCTTAGCCTGCCTGTACAGGGTCTGTTTTAAAGCCTCAGAGTCTAGGGTGGAATTAAGGACATCTTTAACTTCAAACGCTTCCTCAGCTGCTCTGCGCAGATCCAGCCCCTTCCCAAAAGTCGGCATCGGCTCCAAAGCTAACAGGCCGCCCGCCGGCTGCTGCTCAACACACCTGCACCAATGACCGGAGAGGGGCCTGCCGTTAGCCTGGCTGGCCTGCAGCCGCCTCTTTGACGCCCCACGGCCTGCTCCGTGCCTGCATGCATGCCACGGTGCCTCCACGAGCCACATGCACAAGGAGATAGACACAGACACATGGACACCAGGATGGAAGCCACACGAATGCAGGAAATGGACGGACAGAGGACCACGAGGGGGTGAGTATGTGCACACATGTCGCAAGCAGCAGGCGGGGCGCCCAGGTTTCCGGGTACAAGGACAGAGCGGGAAGCCTTGGTTCCCAGGATTCTGGGCAGCTCTGAGGAGCCCAGGACCCCCAGTCCCAGTGCCCAGGGGTGGGAAGAAACGCTGTCTCTGAGGGTCCCCCAGGGGCTCTTGGAAGCCACACTATCACTGTTGCTGAGGTAGGGGGCCAGCACTAGGATGTGGGGGAAGTGGCTGTGGTCAGCACAAGTTCCAAAACTGGGGGGTTAGCCCCGGCACCACAGCTCCTGCGGGAGGCTGGATGTCAAGCCCCAGGCTGACAGACACTGTGTGGCTCTGTGGCTGGACCAGAGACGTCCACGGGTCCAGGACCAGCTTGCTCTGTCTTCCCTCCCATACTCTGCTCCCTGGTCTCGGATGTGCATGTGTGCAGATGTGCATGTTTGCATGCATGTGCAAGTGTGCACACACAGGCACACATATGATCACGAACACACAGTCGCACGCTTGCTCACACACGCGCAAGCACACGCACACATTCATACATGTGTACATATGTGCATGCACACATGGTTGCACGCTCTCACACATGTGCACATGTGCTCGCATGTGCGCAAGTGCATTTTTGCACTGTGCATGTGTATATGTGTGTGCGTGTGCATGCACATGTGTGCATGTGCGTGTGCACATGCGTGTGTGCGCGCATGTGCGTGCGCATGTGTGTGAGCCTGTGCATGTGTGCGTGTGCATGTGTGTGTGTGGTGAGCGGCTGAGCCCCAGCCCCCTCCCCCAGGGCCGGGCCTCACCCTGGCCACGGGCACAGGCCCTGCGGTAGAGACGCCTGCAGGGAGGTGACCCGCAGGGAGTGTGGAGGGCTCCCTGCTGCGGGGGGCCAGCTACCCTCCCGGCCCCCTCCCCAGCTGGGCCCCCAGCCGCCCCACCTGCGGCCCGCAGAGCCCAGCACGCACCTTCGGGGGCGGTCGAAGCCCACGGCCAGGGCGGTGGGCGGGTCGTCCTCCTCCTCATCCTCATAGGGGCCCTGGGGCTCGGGCGTGGGGGACGCGGTGTCCTCCTGGGACTTCCCCGCCAGGCTGTCATCGTCTTCCTCCAGCTCCTCCTCCTCTTCGCCCTCCTCGGGCTTCCCACCGGCTCGGCCCGGGCACTGCGGGGCGCCGTCCGGGTCCTGGGCCTCTGGCCTGGGTGACAAGGGAGGGGATTGGCCGCAGGCCCTGAGGCCGGCAACCGGCTGCCGCCCCCTCCTCCCCAGGCCCCTGCTCCCCTGGGGGAGCCACCCTGTGGTCACAGAGACCCGGAGCTGTGGTCTTGGGCTGCCCCTGCCCTCGGCCCCAGCCCGGCCCTGCGGGGGGAGTGATTCGAGGAGGGGAGGTGGCTGGGGACAGACCAGGGCCACTCATTGCAGGGCTCCTGTTAGGCCACAGTGGACACCCGGCCATTCAGGGCATGTGGTGCCAGGGCCGGGCACTGCCCAAGGCACATCCTCAAGGAGATGCGTGGCCCAGCCCCGATGGACGCGGCTGCTCCTGCCACCCTCGAGGACAGGAGGACACGGGGATGGCCAGGGCGAGCGGCCCCTCAGCAGACGGAGCGCCTGGGTCCAGGGTCCTGCAGAGCGAGGGCTGGGCTGCGGTCGGCAGTGGACCCGCCCGGACGGGTTTGCTTCAGAGACGAGTTCCCTGGCTGTAGACCCCCGGGGACATTCCAGCCCAGGCAAGACCTCCACTCGGGGGCCTCGTTATTAAAAGGCAAAAAAAGTGCCCCGGGTGAGTGTGAGAGTCCTCACTGCCTCCAGACAGCGCCGCCGGTGTGGGTTTAGTTCATCAGCAAGCCTGTGACCGGAGGGCTGGGCGTGAGGGCCACCCGGGCAGGCGCCCAACACGTGGGCAGGGAGCTGGGGCGGGCAAGGCGCACGTTCGCTGGGCTCACGTCAGACCCGAGTCCCAAGACCCCAGCCCCCAGGCCCCGCTCCTCCTGGACCCCACGTGGCTGCGGGAATCTGTCCACGGCAGCCACAGGACACGGTCCTCCTCTCAGCGTCCTCAGGGAGGTGTCCTTCCCAATGACCACTGCTGGCCTCCAAATGGGGGATCTGTCCTGGGCTTGTCCTTGGGCAGAGGGACTGGGCTGGGGACCCCGACCCCTAGGCTCCTGGCCTGCCTGTCTTCAGTTCTTGTCTTTCCACAAGGAAGCGTGTAGATTCTCACACCTGACCTGCCTCAGGATGGGCCCAACCCAGCGCGTTTCCCTGTGTCACTGGTCGCCTGCGCGGGGCACTGGGCCCTCGCCCATCACCACCAGCAAGGGGCGCTCTGGAGCCAGGTGACATGGGCCAAGACCAGTCTGGTCTCCTTCTCTGGCTCTCTGCGGGTGACCTTGGCCTCTCGGTGACGTGAGGACACCCTGTGCTGAGGCACGTCCCTGTCGGTTCTTCTTCGTGTGGCTTTGCCTGGACATCGGGAGCCACGGTCAGGGGACTGTCTCTAACAGCCAGACGTGCCTTAGGCCCCAACTGCGGGGCTGTGATAAGACCGTGACTTTCTCTGAAGGTGGAGACCACGATGCTTGAGCCACAGGCGGCTCTCAAACGGGGGCTGGAGTGCTGTCTTCGGGTGCCCGCTTGGGCCCTGCGAGTACCCAGCCACCGGAGGGGCAGACAGGCTCCTGGGACCCCGTCTCCTGGGGGGCTCCCCTCACTTGCTGAAGGTGAATGGGGAGGGCCCTGGGCCCTGGGGGCCGTACAGCCGCAGCCCACCCGTGGCCAGCACGTGGGCCGGTGCTCTGGGCCGGGCTGTGTGGCTGGAGCAAGGTGCCCCACTTCTCTGGGCCTCAGGTCCCCTCTGCAGAATTAGGGGATCGCACCCGAGGCCTCTTGGAGTTGGGAGTGTCTCTGGTTCCCTGACTCCGGGTCTGGCACCAGCTTCCCCCAAAGAGAACCTCTTCCTGGGGTCAGAGTGTCCTTCCTGGGTGGGGCCGCACGCCGGGGCGGAGCAGACACCCTCCTTCTCGAATCAGAATTCTGCCATTTGCTGCTGCTGTTGGGTGTGTGTGCACGCGTGTGCGTGCATGTGTGCGCACGTCTCTGTGTGTGCACATGTGCACTTGTGTGTGCACGTCTGTGTGTGTGTTTAAGGAGGCAGCATTCTTGTTTGGAAACCTTCAGCACCCGGCACTGAACAGTGTCCCCGAGTCTCAGAGGCCGGGGGGATCTGGGCAGCAGCCCTCGCTGGGCAGACACTTGGCTGCACACAAGTGAATGTTGAGGCCCCGCTGCGCCAGCTGCCGGCGAGGCCTGCACACCGGGCGCTGCTCTGGGTGCAAACCTGCGTCAGCATCCTGTCCAGGTGGAGAAACTGAGGCAGAGGTGGAGCCCTTGCTGACACTCCCCCAGCTTCCAGGTGGCGGAGCTGGTACAGAGCGGGCGTCAGCGGCAGAGCTCGTGGGCCTCCCCTGGGGGCAGGTGCTGGGGCGGGGGTGCCCTGCTCTGGGCCCAGCCACACAGGGGAGCTGCAGCGTCCTCACAGTCCCATGGCCCAGCGTGGGTTTCTTACCGTGTGTCTGTTCGCGTGGACGCTTGGTTCATCTCGCTGTTGGCAATGAAGTTTCTGATTTCAGAGAAATAGGAGTCCTCTTTCTCATCTAAAAGTGCGTGGGTGTCCGACTCGGAAGTGGGGGAGGAGGCGCTGGTCCCCAGGTGGTTCGAGAGGACCCCGGAGTGCTGGCTCACTGCGGGAGGGGGCATCAGAGGGGCCCTCAGCCAAACCGATCTTCTCCACTGCCCTCCCCTCTCCATCCCATTCCCCCCTCACATCTCTTCCCATTGCCCCATCTTTCAAGTCCTCTCCTGCTCCTGAGCTCACCCCCCAGTTCCCGAGCTCAGCCCCCAGCTCCTGAGCCCAGCCCCAGCTCCTGAGCCCAGCCCCAGCTCCTGAGCTCACCCCCCAGCTCCCGAGCTCAGCCCCCAGCTCCTGAGCTCACCCCCCAGCTCCTGAGCTCACCCCCCACCTCCCGAGCTCAGCCCCCAGCTCCTGAGCTCAGCCCCCCCCAGCTCCTGAGCTCAGCCCCCAGCTCCTGAGCTCA